TATATATATATATATATATATATATATATATATACCTGTTGTAGTAATAGTTGTGTATGATGTTTATGTTGATCTTGTTGTTTGTCTTCTTCTTTATACAAAGAAAAGGAGACAATTCCTCTTATATAACCAAATATAGCCTCTAGTCCTCCTCCTCCTCCTCCTGCTGCTCCTGCTGCTGCTGCTCCTGCTGCTGCTGCTCCTGCTGCTGCTGCTCCTGCTGCTGGTCCTCCTGCTTCTGGTCCTGTACCTCCTGCAGGTGCTAATCCTACAGCTGCTCCTGCTGCTGGGGCTGCTGCACCTGCTGCTGCTGGTCCTGCTGCTGGTGCTGCACCTAGACCATCACCAGCAACTCCTGCTGCACCACCACCAGCACCAGCAGCAGCAGCAGCAGCAGCAGCAACAGCAGCAGCAGCAGCAGCGGCATCACCTCCTACTGCTGCTCCATCAGCTTGCTGTTGTGCGTTACCTCTTGCTGCTGCTGCTCTTCTTGCTGCTGCAGGTTGCTGCTCTAGCAGCAAATGTGCTGCTGCTAATGCAGCATTTGCGTCCCCTCTTGCTGCTGCTTGCTGCAGCAAATCCAATGCCCTGTCCCTGTCCCGCGGTATACCAGCTGCAGCACAAGCAGCAGCAGCAGCACAAGCAGCAGCAACAGCAGCAACAATAACAGCACCAGCAGCACCGTCAGCAGCAGCACTCTCAGCACCAGCAGCAACAGCAGAAGCAGCACCAGCAGAAGCAGCAGCAACAGCAGCAGACCTTCAGGGTTTCCATGTAGATATAAATCAGCAAGTGCTGCTAATCCTTCTGGTTCTCCTTCTGCTGCTACTGCATGCAGCAGCAGCGCGGTGTCTCTGCTGCTGTGCTGCAGTCCACCTTCAGGCAGCAAACCAGAAGCAATAGGATCTGCTGCTGCTAGCTGCTGCAGCAGCTCATCTAATGAAGGAGAAGGAGGGGTACCACTGCTGCTGCTGCTGCTGCTGCTGCTGCTGCTGCTTGGTTTGTTAGTTGCTGCAGCAGCAAATGCTGCATCGTCTCCTGTGTTTCTTAAGAAGAAAGAAGGAGACACACGAGATAAATGTGTGTGCTGCTGCTGCTGCTGCTCCTCCTGCTGCTGCTGCAACGCTGATGCAGCAGCAGGCAACATATGACGCAAAGCAGCAGTGCAGTCCCCAAAGCCCTCGCCACCTGCAGCAGCAGCAACAGCAGCAGCAACAGCAGCAACAGCAGCAGCAACAACAGCAAGACCGACAATATATACAGCCAAATCTAGATCCAAATCTCAACTCAGCATCTGCCTTATCCTGCTGCTGCTGCTGCTGTTGCTGCTGCTGCTGCTGCTGCTGCTGCTTCTGCTGCTGCTGCTGCTGCTGCTGCCTACCTAGTCTCCTTATAGCAATGAGTGCACTTTCTTCTTTTTCTTTTTCTGTTGGCAGCAGCAACTCTTTATTTATCTCTATTATCCCTCCTTCCTTCCCCATAGAGAATTTATACTCCTTATTAGCAGCAGCAGCAGCAGCAGCAGCAGGTGCAGCAGCAGAAGGAGCAGCACCAGGAGTAGTGGTAGAAGTACTAGTACTTGCTCCTGCTGCTGCTGCTGTTGCTGCTGCAGGAGGAGGGACATGTTGTGCCCAGAAGCTACGCTCTGCTGCTCCTGCATGCAATGTTGCTGCAGCACGACCAGTATTTAGATAAAAGGCAGCAGCAAAAGAAGCTAATGGTTCTCCTGCTGCAGCAGCAAACATGTAATGAGTTAATGGTAAATCCGTCCTGCAGCAGCAGCAGCAGCAGCAGCAACAGCAAGAGCAGCAACAACATTAATAATACCAGCAACAATATTAAGAACAGCAACAGAGCCAACAGCAACAGAACAGCAGCAACAGCAAAAGAACAGTAGCAACAGCAACAGCAGCAGCAACAGCAGCAGCAACAGCAGCAGCAGCAGCAACAACAGCAGCAGCAGCAGCAGCAGGTATTGTTACCTGCTTCTGACTAGTCGTTGCTGCTGCTGCTTGAATGCTTTGCTTTGCATAAAGGGGAGATCAAAGGGAGAGCCAAGAGGTGGCGGTGCTGCTGCTGCTGCTGCTCTTGCTGCTGCTGCTGCTGATTCAGGTGCAGCAAGAAAGAAACTTATACTAGATGCTGTTTGCTGCACTGACCATACATCTGCTGCTGTTACTGCAGCAGGAAAACCAAGAGATGCAAGAAAACCTACAAACAGCAGCAGCAGCAGCAGCAAACCACAGACACGAGTATCAGCAGCAGCAGCAGCAGCAGCAGCAGCAGCGAACCCCACAGACACTAAAATCAACAGCAGCAGCAGCAGCAGCAGCGACAACAACAATCACAAAAGCAGCAATAGCAGCAACAGCAGTAGCAGCAGCATAACAACAACGACCACCACCAGGAGCAACAGCTGCAACAGCAACAGCTGCAGCAGCAGAAGCAGCAGCAGCAGCAGCAGGTTACCTGTGAGTAATAAACACATAGAGGATGGTGGCTTGGTGTGTCTGCCTGCAGCAATTGCTGCAGCAGCAGCAGCAAAATCTCTTGGCCAACCATGAGGAAGCTGCAGTATTCCTTTTGTGTCTCCTACACCAAAAAGAGACAAAAAGGCGACAACTCCTACTGCTGCTGCCTGTAGCTGCTGCAGCTGCTGCAGCTGCTGCTTCTGCTGCAGTTGCTGCAGCTGCAAAGATACAGCAGCAGCATATTTAGGGATAGGAGATATTGCATCAGGTAATAAATAAACCAATGAATCTTTATCATCCTCCTGCTGCTGTTGCTGCTGTTGCTGCTGCTGCTGCTGCTGTTGCTGCTGCTGCTGCTGCTGTTGCTGCTGCTGCTGCTGCTGCTTGGGGAAGCGCAGCTGCAGCAGCAAACGTAAATAGTAATAAGCATCACCAAAGGAACGAACAAGTCTGCCTACTCCTTGTCTCTCTGCTGCTGCTGCACGTGCTTCTGTTATAATTGCTTCTTCACCCTCTGCTGCTGCTGCTGCTCCTGCTGCTGCTCCTGCTTCTGTTACACCACTGCTGCTGCTGCTGCTGCTGTCGCTGCTGCTGCTGCTGCTGCTTGCTAGACTTTCTTCTAGCAGCGGCAATCTACCAGCAGCAAAGATAGCAGCAAAATCAAGAACATCCTCAGGCACAAACAGCAACGAATTCTCACGACGCTTCCTGCTGCTGCTGCTGTTGCTGCTGTTGCTGCTGCTGCTGCTGTCGCTTGTGCCGGTCTTTTTCGTGTTGCTGCTGCTGTCCTTTCCATCACTGCCTTCCTGAAGAGCTGCTGCTGTTGCTGCAGCGTGGCTGTTTGCTGCTGCTGCTGCTGTACTCACTGGCAAGTCACCAGTAGGAGCAGCAGCAGCAGCAGTAGGCGCAGCAGCAGCAGCAGCAGCAGCAGCAGCACCGGGAGACCCAGGCAGCTGTCTATCAGAGAGAGCAGCATGGGTTGCAGCAGCACCTGCTGCAGCGGCTCTTGCTGCTGCTGCTGCTGCTGCTGTGTCTGCTGCTGCATTCTCTAAATGTACAGGAGAGGAAAGATCAGCAGCTGGACCCTGCGTGCTGCTTCTTGTTGTGCTGCTGCTGCTGCTGCTGTTGTTGTTCTCGCTGCTGTTGCTGCTGCTGTCGCTGCTGCTGTCGCTGCTGCTGGAGTCTTTCTGCTGCTGGGCCTGCTGCTCCTTCCGCAGCAAATCCACCACCAACGCTCGTACCCTGCAAATACAGCAGCAGCAGCAGCAGCAGCAGCAGCACAGCAGCAGCAACAATAAAGAAACAGTAAATACGCAGCAGCAACAAGACGACAACAGCAGCAGACGCTACAAAAAGGTACGATGAGGCATGCAGCAACAGCAGCAGCAACAACAACCGCAGCAACAGCAGCAGCAACAAGCACAGCAGCAGCACCAACAGCAGCAGCAGCCCCCCGTATACGCCTATCGTTATAATCAGCATCAGCAGCAGCAGGAGAATAATCAGCAGCAGCACCAGCAGCAGCAGCAGGTTTTATGTTATACATACAGTTGTCTTTCCTGCTGCAGTGCTTCTTGTTCATATAATTCTTGCTGCTGCAATGGTGTTAATAATGCTCCTGCTGCTGCTGCTGCTGCTGTTGCTGCTGCTGTTGCTGCTGTTGCTGGTTATTGCTGTTAATATTTTTTGTACCTTTTTCCTGTTGTTTGTGTTCACCATTGATCTTATCCCCCATCTGCTGCTGCTGCTGCTGCATGTGTTGTTTCTGCTGCTGCTGTTGTTGCTGTTGCTGCTGTTGTTGCTGTTGTTGCTGTAGCCATAATGGGAGTAGCTCAGGCTTAAGTTGCTGCAGCAGCAGCAGCAGCAAAGAAGGATCTATATCAGCAGCATAAAGATTTTCTTCTTGTTGTGTAAAATAAATACGATGTGTTGCTCCTATTGATATTGCTTCCTCTATCTCTGATAGCCATATAGCACTCTTGCTGCTGCTGTTGCTGTTGCTGCTGCTGCTGCTGTTGCTGCTGCTGTTGCTGTTGATGGGGGTGGTGGGTGTGGTGTTGTTGTTGTTGTTGTTGCTGCTGCTGCTGCTGCTGCTGCTGCTGATGGTGGTGGGGGTAGTATCATCATCTATGTCTTCTTCTTCTTCTTCGTCTTCTTCTTCTTCATATTCAATATACTCATCATCATCATCATTGCTGCTGCTGCTGCTGTTGCTGCTGCTGCTGTTGTTGTTGCTGTTGTTGCTGTCATCGCTGCTGCTGCTGCTGCTGCTGCTGCTGCTGCTGCTGCTCTGTGGTAGCATATCTTCAAGGTCATCAGAGAGATAAATCGATTCTTCGTCTGTCTCTAACCCCACAACCTCCCGTACTCCACCTGCTTCTGCTGCTGCTGCTGCTGCTGCTGCTGCTGCTGTTTCTGCTGCTGCTGCATCTGCTGCCTCGCGAGGGATCCAAGACAGCAGCAGCAACAACAGCAGCAAATGCTGCTGCTGCAGCAAAAAACGCCGCAATCCACCCTTACAACTTGCACCAGAAATGCCCATCTTTACTGTAGGAAGCAGCTGCTGCAGCAGCTGCTTCTGCTGCTGCTGCTGCTGCTGCTGCTCTTGATCCTCGTGCGACTGCTCTTGCTCCTGCTGCTGCTGCTGTCACAATTAATGCGACTGTTCTTACCGCAAACAATACTGCTGCTGCTGCTGCTGCTGTTGCTGCTGTGCTTCAGTAGGTAGCAGCAAACCAACACATAGGAACAGCTGCAGCTGCTGCAACGTTCGAGCAGCAGCAGCAGCAGCAGAAGCAACTCCAGCAGCAATTGCAGCAGCAGCAGCTGCTGCTGCTGCTGTCCTTTCACTGCGGAAGGATATATAGAGGAGCACTATATAGGATAGATCTTCTCTAAAGGAATCCTGCTGCTGCTGCTGCTGCTGCCTTTGCTGCTGCTGCTGCTGCTGTTGCTGCTGCTGCTGCTGCTCTGGGGGGCCCTCAAGTCAAAATAAGGCAAGCCAGGGGCCTCCCCGTGTTGCAGCAGCAGCAGCAGCAACTGCTGCTGCTGCTCTTGCTGCTCTACAGAAGCAGCTTAACTTGGAGGTTCCAGGACACGGCTTGCTGCTGCAGTGTCGTGCTGCTGCAGTCGCTGCTGCTGAAAGTGCTGCTGCTGCTGCTGCTGCTGCTGCTGCTGCTGCTAGTGTTGAGGACAGAGTGGTTAAGGCCAGGATATAAAGCAAATAAAAGAGCAGCAAAGTCAAAAAAAATAATAGAGCCCCTCTACATACAAGCAGCAGCGGCAGCAGCAGCAGCAGCAGCTGCTGCTGCTGCTGCTGCTGCTGCTGCTGCTGCTGCTGCTGCTGTTCCACGGAGCTGGGGCCGCCCGAAGCAGCCGACGCTGCTGCTGATGCTGCTGCTGTCTGCTGTAGCAGCAAGAAATAAATATAAAATAAATTGGCAATTAACTTCTTATAGCTACTGTCTATGATTATGTATATTTCAGCAGCAGCAGCAACTGCTGCTGCTGCTGCTGCTGTTGCTGCTGCTGTTGCTATTGCTGCTGCTGCTGCTGCTGCTGCTGCTGCTGCTGCCTCGGTTAGGTGAGCGAGAATGTAGACAGAATACAAAAAGGAGACAATTGACGGTAAATGAATAAATAAATAAAAAAAGGAGACAAAAAGGAGACAGAAAAGGAGACAAAAAAGGAGACAAAAAAGGAGACAAATAGATACAATAAATAAAATATATAAATAAATAAATAAATAAACAAATAAAATAAAAAAGGAAATAAATAAAAAAAAAGAGACGCATGCATGCATATAATAAAAGAAGATAAAAAAATATATAAAAAGGATAAATAAATAAATAAATTAATAAATAAATAAATAAATAAATAAATAAATAAATTGTCTCCTTTTTATGCATTTATTTATTTGTCTCCCTTTTATATTAATTGTCTCCTTACTGTCTCCTTTTTTTATTTATTTGTTTGTCTCCTTTTTTTATTTATTTATTTGTCTCCTTTTTTTTATTTATTTATTTGTCTCCTTTTTTTTATTTATTTATTTGTCTCCTTTATTTATTTATTTATTTGTCTCCTCTTTTTTATTTATTTGTCTCCTCTTTTTTATTTATTTATTTGTCTCCTTTTTTTTATTTATTTATTTGTCTCCTTTTTTATTTAATTGTCTCCTTTTTTTTATATTTATTTATTTCCTTAGGAGACAATTATATAATAAATAAAAAAAAAAAGGAGACAAATAAATAATAATATAAATAAAAAGGAGACAAATAAATAATAATATAT